GCGCTAGGTGCATTACCACTCTCAGGTGCTGTGTGTCTTGGCACTGGTACACATGGCTGCCGGGAGGCACGTTGGGGTACGCGTGCAAAGAGCTAAACCACAATAATGTGTGTTGCACTGATGTGAAAAAAGTGAATGTGCACTACTTTTTTTCACCACAGCGCAATGCAATGTTTTGTGGTGCGGCGCGCTGCCCTGCAACACACGGCGGCTGGGAGACGTGTTGTGGTGCCATTAAAATGAATGCCAATGTAACACACGGTAATGCATGCAAGGTGCACTGTGCATTTATCGCATGGTATTGTATGGTTATTGCACCGCTATGGTGCGAATGGGCCCTTAGTCATGTGCACTCCAGGGAGGTATAAAAGACAAATGAATGGAGCTCTGTGATCATGAATTCATCATCAAATGTATTTTTAAAATACAAGCAGTGCAAGTGCCTGAATTTGACCTGTCGTCTGCCTCTTGCAGTCCCTGTACGTACATACATACCCATTCTCCAGGTTTTATGCCTTCAAAGACTTTGCAAGCACAGAAAATATGCATTTAACTCTATCCTGTTCAGAGTTGTCAAAACAGCATTTTTGTGGACTGAGTAGTGTCAGCCCTGCCCAGTTTTCTTTTGTAGAACTACTCAACCACTCCCAGATCCCTATAACAAAAAGGCTAATCATTCTGTAGTCCATGATAAAAACTACTCCACCACTCCCAGATCTCTATAACATAAAAGGCTAATCATTCTGTAGTCCAAGACGAGAACTAGGAGGGCTAAAGAACTAGGAGGGTCAATCACTCTACCAGAGATAACACTAGAACTGTGCACTGAGCGGTGACAGTCCTGCTCAGTGCCTTTTGCTGAATTACTCAGCCACTCCAGACTCGCAGCTCTATAACATAAAGGCTAAATGATTCTGTAGTCCAAAATAAGAACAAGGGCCAGTTACTCTGCCTGAGATAACGCAGGAAGTGTGCACAGGACAACTCTGAATTTCAGGCAGGATCAACAGGTATTTTTTTTTAGCACTCAAACAGATAAAACACTTTCAGCTGTGTCTTTAACAGACTAAAAAGGGGAGCAAATATCAGATGTTCATTGTTGGGGTTTACAAGTGGCCTTGCAGAGTCAGGAGGACTAGGCCCGTACCCACCAGGCTCAAAATGCCATGTATAGCTGGCTTTCATCATTGGCAGGTTTGCATTGAACACGCCGAGTGTCTATTTTTCTTGCACAGTGCATGGCAACAACGCTGCACTATAATTCTGTTCTGTCATCAGGATTGCATTTAAAAAGGAATGGAGAGAGCTCGGCCATCCCGCCTGGCGCTCCCGGTGCCCATTTCTTCTCCTACGTTGGACATGAATAAGATGAGAATTTCTTAACGCTGCTGAAGAGTGAACAGGAGGCGGCGTGTGGCTGGAGGCTGATCCGTGCCCCAGATACTCAGCCAACTAGAGCTCAGCGTGAGTGCAGAGACTAAGCTAAAGCATATTTACTAACTGCTCCCGTTCACAGGGGCAACCCTTTGTTTTCAAGATTTGTCCCCGAGAAATGGCTGCATCCTGTGCTGTAAAGCTCTCATGCCCCAATTCCTATCATCTACCTATTCCCCGGGCTATTATAGTGACCCTGACATCACAAGGTGACCTGTAACCCAAGAACACCTCGAGGGCAGCACAGTGGCGTTGTGGTTAGCACTTCTGCCTTGCAGCACTAGACGGTCCCCGGTTTGAACCCTGGCCAGGTCACTATCTATACAAGGAGTTTGCATGTTCTTCCTGTGCCTGTGAGGGTTCACTCCCACATTCCAAAGACATGCTTGAAGGCTAATTGGCTCCAGTCTTAAGCTGGGCACACACCTTACAACCATCGCTATTCTCTTGCGATGGTTGTAAGGTACTTTAAAAAACATACGATCTGCTTATCTTGGACAGGCAGATCGTACTTGCGATGATCGCAAGCCACGCCCCCCTGAGGGGCGGGCTTCCTATGACCGCAATGCCGAACGGGCAGTGTGCGCTTGCGCACACCGGCCCATCCGGCTTTTATCTTACGAACATGCTACACACCCGCCGAACATCGTACGATGCTCGGCGGGTTTTCGAACATGTTCGTAAGTTAAAAGTCGTGCGACCTTACAGTAGTAGAGGTCACATGGCTTCCACACACCTTACGATAATCGTACGATTGCGGGATTTCCCACGATTATCTTAAGGTGTGTGGGGACCTTAATTTGGCCAGTGTCTTATTTTCGGGGAAACACGGTACGTAAAGTGCTGTGTAAATTGTCGGCGAAATATAAAACACAATAAAGGAGAGCGTCCATACTTTCCGATGGACCTAGTCTTCGTACTCCGGTGCTATGCTCCCCAGGAGCTACAGATATCCAACATTTCTAGGTGTGTCGTATACCTGCCACCCCCCCCCCCCCCCCCCCCCCTGCCAGCTTATAGGTCCCATAGTTACATATCAGCCAGTGAATGGAAATACAGCATGCAATATGAGGAGCCAATAATGGCAGCTTAACTATTTCTCTAAGTTTAGGGCTCGTTCACACTCCGTGCACTAGCCGCATTGATCAATAGGGGCTCAATAATGCAAGGACACAGAGGAAACAATCGTTCTCCATGTGACCTGTACATGCCGTACCAAATGTGTTGGTGTGCATACATAAAATTGTTGCATGTCTGTTAAGCAATGCACAAAAACGTGTTACAAAGCACGTCAGCGCGTCGCAACATGCTACACGTTATGCATAGAGTTAAATATAGGAGTTTTTTTCTATAACTTGTATTTAAAAAGTAAACACTGCAATGTATTTTAATGCACTGCAGTACAGAAGGCGCACCAGAACGCGCATTATGAACACCATAATATACATCTGCTGGTGTGAACAGCCCTATAAGGCTGGGTTCACACCTAGGCGTATCAAATATGTGCGTTTGTCGCGCATTTTCGTGCCGCGCGTTACCGCGATTTGCAGTAAAAAACCACGCGACAAACGCGCGTTTCTGAGGGCTACCTGGCTGTATCCCAATGGATATGCGCGGCAAATACGCCCCAAAGAAGCTCCTGTACTTCTTTGGGCGTAGGGCGTTTTGTAGCGCGTTCATACGGCCTGTAATACGCCCAGGTGTGAACCATACCCATAGGAAATAATGGGATTTCAGTGTGTTTGAGAGTTTTGCAGAGCGTAGGAACGCGCTACAAAACGCCCAGGTGTGAACCGGGCCTTAAGCAAACAGGGTAAAGCACAGGTTCTGGGTCATTCCCAGGCAGCACATACTCCCCTGTCCTTCTCTGCTACCACTGCTCTGTTCAGGTGTGGAGAGCATGGGACTCGACCTATAGGGCCGCACAAATGTTTGGTAGCTCGGGCTTCCAACACTGAGTCCTCAGTCTGTGTAAGCTTCAAGGCACAACCTGTAGTTTACACAAAAGGGGTCTATATATATCTAGAGCTCTCCATTTATAAACACAATTTACAGAGCCGTTTTCCCTGCCACTCTGTGAACGTTTGTTGTGTGAGCAGCTGTAAAAATGAAAGCTCTTAGTATAATCTCCTTTCAGGTCGAATGTAATACTGCATTATGGCCACTAGATTGAGCTGAGGAGCATAGGAAAGGCTCATCTCATGTGCTCCTCAGCGCATCTAGTGGCCATAATGCAGCATTACATTACATTAAATTTGACCTGAAATGGAAATACTGTATATATTGAAAATGTTATTTTTTTGCATCTTTTGGCACAGAACGAACGTTCATAGAGATTCAAGGGCTGAATGGCTCTGCAAATTGTTTATAAGCAGACCCCAAAGGGGCTTATATGCAGAGAAAAAGTTGAAGAGCAAAGGGAAGGAAAGCATGTGCAGCTGGTGGGGTTGGCATTAAAATGAACCTTTTGCTTTGCCCTGGATAGTAAATGTGAGGATAAAAATATGGGAACTTCTAGTGCCAACAGTAGAGAAGCCTGTCCCCTGCCAGCACACTGCAGAGAAGGATTTTGTAAGGAAGCAGAGGTCCAAATGACCCTTGAGTAGTCTGTCTGTCCCATTGCTTTAAACTTAGGAAAGCTCAGGCTGCCTGATGATTGGAAAGATCTGGCGTAGCAGGGGACAAGTCAGACCTCCACAGAGAGACCACGGCTTCCACACACAGCTTATCTATCAGCAGCCCAACATTTGAGTTCACTACATTATATCAAAATATGTTACTGGCAATGTTAGAAATAATACTACTTTAACAGTTGCAAGGACTGCAGTACTGTGCCAGGTACTGTTACCACCCATTAAAAGGGCAATACAAAAATGTACTTTTAAAACTGCTATTAAAGAGTCATTCCAACGAAAGCTAATTTAGTGTTCGGTAGATGCTGGAGAGTTAAAGGAGAACTATGAGGTGAGTGTTTTTCACTCATAGTTCGAGCCGACGTGTGACAATGAAACTGTCACAGGTCGGCTCAATAGATCGGGAAGTGAGCGAACACATACAATCGCTCGCTTCTCAATCCTGTCCCTGCAGAGAGCTGTGTCACTCACGGCTCCCTGCAGGGATCCCCCCACCCCCCATATGAGGGGCTCTCACCATACCTGCACTGACTTCCCGTGTCTACTGGGGTTCCCAGACACGGAACACATAACAGGTGGATGACAGAACCGAAAACGCCCATGTGAATAGGAACAGAGTCTGGAAAAATCTAATTGTTGAAAGTCAGCAAGACATACAAGAATCTAGGAGTTGACACAGCCCACCAGGCTCCCTCTAACTAAAATATTGCCTTTGGTTGGAGTGACCTTTTAGCATCTTACTGTAGGCATTTTACTGCTCCACACATCTATGGAACTTCTACAACATACAAACGCAGTGGAGGCAGCACCTAAAAAAGGCTTGCTCTACTCAATACCACACATTGCTGTAACCATTACTTCCACTTGTACTTAAGAAAGGCCAGATGACGACATTTGCGATTGGGAAGCATTTAACCAGCTTGTTTTGTAGACACTCACCAGCTGTTTGCTGAAGTTTTGCACGCATTGTTCGAACTGTTCATCTTTCGTCTCATCTGCTTTGCCCAATTTCTGGAGCACCTGAAGGAAGGAAAGAAAGAAAGAAAAAAAAATCCAAGATTAGAAATTTTAGTTAAAATACAAAAACAAAGTGGAGGACAGATTGTGAAGTTTAATTTTCTAAGCTGCACATCATATTAATGACTTATTGAAGCTGCAGGCAAAATGTCCTTTGTGCAGCAGAACAGAATGATCCTCATTTAATAAAATTATCCTGGAAGGGTACGCCGGGTACAGCACACACCAACCTCTCAGCCAAATTACTGTATGTTCTCAGCTTACAAATTTAGACAACTGATATGTTAAAGTGACTACACACACACACACACTTCTTATGAAGATAGGAGACTTGGTGGGCCATTAGCCTATCTTTCCATGCTTAAACCCATCCAGGTCCCCCATGTGACATCATACATGTGGTTAGGACCTTCATTTTTCGTTCAGATAAATAAAGTGGAAAACCACTTGGTGCAATAATGACCGATTCCAACAACAGCTGGGAAACACTTGTGCTCCCCAGGGAAATCAAAATACGGACCACATCTTGCTCATGCACCACAAGCTACGGCCCAGTTTTGGGCAGAACATGCCAAAGTCTGACCGCCTCCAAGTAGACTGGAATGAGGAACACACCTATTCATAATAGTCCCTACCCCAGAGGATACTACATTCTTTCCCCTCCCCAGACACATCTACCTTCTAGCCATCATAGTAGATTGAGTCAAAAACACGGCTGGATGTTTAGACTATTGATATGTTAGGGGACCACATACACTTATTATGAAGACATGCAAATGAACTACTGAAGACTATCATCTTTCCCCCCTAAACCTGACCAGGTCCTTGATGTGATGCTACTGGCAACACACATTGGTATTACCTGCTTTTTTGGGAGTTAAAGCTTTGTATGCTATAATGAGTGCTCCTAACAACCAAGAAACTCTTGTGTGCCCATCAGAGAATAGAAATATGGTCCACTTCTTGCTCAGTCATTACAAGCTACCGCCAGTTGGGGCAGAGCCTTGCAATGTCTGATCAAACCCTAGTAGAGTGGTATAAAGAAAAACTATTCATATTAGCCCCAGTCTTAGAGGATTCTACATTCTGTCCCCACCCCAGAGGAGTCAACCTTCTTGCCAATTTAGAAGATTGCTTCAAAATAGGGCTGGATGTTTCGCTAAATGCACGAAATATAACTGGATGTTACCAGGGTCGGATTTCCCATAAGGCCAACCAAGGCCCGGCCAGCAGGGGTGTGGGATTCCTATCTTCTGATGCCTGGGAAATGCAGTTCCGGGTGCTAGGCGGGTAGTTGTTTACTACATTTAGCACTGCTTTGGGCAAGCGGAGCTAAATGTACAGCGGGGAAGCCGCCGCTTGTTTTGTACAAGTGATTGGGGGGGGAGGAACCTGGCCTTGGGGAAGCAGAGAGTAAATCCAGCCCTGGATGTTACTATGTGTAAGAAATAACACTGCAGACTGTTAATCCAGGGAGTATTAAAATTAATTAGGGGATCAGGAGGATTTTTTTCCCCTGCTACAACAAATGAGATAACATCGTATAATTGCTTTTTTTTTCCAACTCAAGGTTTAGGGTTCTGATGTGGGAAAGTTTTTCATTCATTTCTACCTTTGGGTTGAACTACATAGACAACTACAAATTTAATACCTATGTAAACTACTCTGCCCCTCCCTAGAAGAGTGTACAACCCAATTTACCATCACAGTCACAAAATATATTACAAAGAAATAAAATGTGATGCTTTAAAAAGTATAGAATCCCTACATCCCAATCAGCCAACATCAGTCTTCACCCCAGAGGAGCTTACTACCCAATGCTGCCACCGCTTTCAATTTATGGTATAAGAAGAAAACCAGCTAACCTACCGATATATTTTGTGGTAGTGACAGGAAGCCCAAACACCCAAAAAGGAGACGCATAGACATGGACCGAACACACCCAATTCTATGCAGCATCCATGGTGGGAGCAGAACTTAATCTCCTGCATTACAGAGACATTACTAAGGATAGCATTGTGGTGCCAGGTATGCCGCAATCCCCCATATAAAGCTGGCACAGAGCAAGGTGTTCAAACTGCTGCAGAAACCATTAGTCTTGAGGAGGCTAAAAAATGAAAGGCCAATTTCCCACAAATGTATGTTTTGGTGGGCCACGTCTACACCCTTTAACTTCTTGTGTGACTTGTGGACTCTAGTGGAAAGCTCTCCCAGCAGTAGTTTGTTTCTCCATACTCTTCCCTGACAAACAAAAGAAGTCTCTTATAAAATCAAACTCCCTAAATTTGTGGCTGAGGGATGAGATGGAGATATCTTACCCCTGGAGCCCGAGACACACAAGAAGCCAGCCATGCCCTTTAAAAAAAATTATAACCCATTTGGTTTCTGCCGACTGCACCAGCGTACTTTGTACCATGTACCTCAAATTACATTACTTGTTTATTTTAAATAACCCGATTGAATTTTTGCCTATGTGTAAGAAATTGGTACAAAGAATTTCTGCTTCATACATAAAATTCCAGAAGCAGAACTTTAGACCCGTCACTGACACATCTTATCAGCTCAGTGATTGCTGCAACATAGTGGAAACTTGTAACCACTCATCGCTTATCAGTACTTCAATGGTTGTCGAGTTCTCACATTTAAAGGGCCCAGGAAGGAAGGAAAACCGTGAAGGACTAAAAGTGGCTGCAGATATTAAAGGTTTGTCCACACCATAGCAAGCATTATGGCAACATGCAATAACGCACTGTAGGTTTGTGTTGCATGCAATGCTATTTAAAGGGAAATGCACCCCAACACACATGCATGTTCACACTGGAGAGCTAAGTGTACACGGTCATTGGTAGGGGAAAGGGGCAATGCTAGGGGCATAAAAGGACGAAAAGAAAACAGAATCTTGCAGTCTGTGCCCCCCCACCCAATGTGTTGATGGGCATCATTTTCAGACTGGATAGGAATGCTTTAGTCATGTCAGCATGTGCACAGCCTGACCTTCTCTTCTGAGGTCTTCTCTCCCAGAAGAGCACGGCGCAGCCCCACTTTCCAGATCCTTTAATTATTTAGCACGACACGCAGAGTCAAACCAACCAGGAACTTCAGTCAACAAAAAATGTCCAAGCATAATAAAGTGCATCTTCATTACAAAATCTGGCAAGTCAATGATGCCAAGGAAATCAAGGTACGCTGAAATGGATCTGAACCACAACTGGGTTCACACAAGATGTCTGCTGCTGTTCCTAATTATGTCGTTTTCGATGCACCGGAGAAATCAGAAACACAGGATTAAGGTTTATGACGCATCTACTTTATTCAGGGCGGTCTCTCTCCTTTATACACAGATAACAGGAGAGTGCTCGTCACACATATGCCCACCTCTGTTATCTCTAAATGTCTTGTACTATTGGGCAAACTAGAGGGGCTGTTAGTTAGAGTTTTGTGTCTCTCGCTAATTGGTTAGTCAAAGATATCTTCTGCCTGTAGCGTCCTCCCTCGGCATTCCTTTCATGTGTCCTCGGCGCGCTCCCGAATACAGGATATCTCTCTTGGTTACGCATATCAACGCTAAAAGCTGAGTAAGGAAAGTCACAAAGCTAGGAAGCAAATTCAAAACAATTTAAAACATAGAAAAGGACATTTTCTTGATATGATCCATATTCCTTCACACACTCTTCCGCAGACACAAAGCAAAAAGGTTACTGGACATTGAACAGTGAATGCATCAGTCGGGGCCTGAAAGTGGGGAAGAGGTAAAGTGTAAATAAATTGACGATCGGTGGGTTTTATATGACAGAAGAGTCTGCAAGTCTCTTCTGCCATAAAAGCTTCTTGCCGCCATTAATCAATGTTATTTTTAACATCGCAAAGTTTTTAATTCTGTCTATGACCCCACTGGGTCTATTTTATCTAACTTCCTGCCCCTGCAAGACAAGGAATGGAGGAGTGGCTGTTACTAGGATAGGAAGGCAAAAACATAGGTCATAAGGTATGAATTAAAACTTGTTGTAACTCTTACCTACTTGAACAATGTTATTTTAGAGAGATTTCCCATCACTTCCCGTCCTTACAGAAATCTTGCTACTAGTAGCTGCTCGCGGTATACTGAGATGCCGCAGCTGAAGCGGATCCCGACAATTGTGCCGGGATCCGCCCAGCTGCGTGACAGACAGCTGGCTCTGCCTATCTAGAAGCAGAGCCAGCTGTACCGGCCCCCTCCCACGTCCGTTCCGCCAGTCAGCGCTGGCAGATCGGAGCGGGGAGAGGGGAATCCAGCCCCTCCCCTGTCGCGGCAGAGAGCCGTGACAGGATCGAGAGGTGAGCGAACGCCGGTATGTGGGGCTGGTTCTGCTTACACACCCACCATCTGGGCACTCGCCCTCGCACGTCACAAGGGGACGGGGAATGCCCCTGCAGTAACCGATTGGCCCAGGAGGGGGTGTCAGATACAGTTTTGCACCGACTCATGCAAACCTAGGTGACCTGGGTTTGCACCAAGCCCTCGCTAATCACTACTGAGGAGGATAGAAGGACAGAGGGGTCAGGTACCAAATAAAGAACAGTTGGAAGCTATGGAAAGAAGTCCTAACCCTCCCCTGCGCTATCCAAAACTAGGGGGAACAAAAGTATATATATGTGGGAGTTGAGCTTTTAATGCCGTAAAAAAAAAAAAAAACGTTTTCTCCGACCATTTTTGTGGCTTTAAATGGCAGCCCTCCGCGGGAAAAATAAAAGTTCTACTTATGGGCCACCTAGACTTTCTGCACCCTCCACTGCACCTGTTGTAGCCTTGCCCTGGCTTGTCAGTGCAGAGAACTAGATTATGTAACCACAGACACAAATCACTGGAATATCAGGAATTCCATCCTAATGTAAATATGACAGGTAAACCGGCTACACCCAGTGACACGGGGCGAAGGGAAATGAAATCTCAATGAATAATCAAAAACACACCTTCGAGTGATGATAAAAAAAAAAAAACTCAGAAACTGCCAATGAGTCACAAC